TTGTCTGTTTTTCCCCTCCCTTGAGTTGTGAGCCGCCCTGAGTCCCTTTCAGGGAAAGGGGCAGCATACAAATAAAGCAAAATGAAATGAATGAATGTCAGTGTGTCGTTTAACTCCTAATAACCTGCCTGAGAGACATCATGGAACATTGAAACTCACAAGGGGCAGAAAATAAAGTGTACGGTCTCTTATAGCATAAGTGACCAACACAGTATTCTCTCCAAAAACAAAAATACCTTTTTAAAATCATCTTCCAGGATCACGGAAACAGTCTTAAGCTCCAGTTTACACAGACCATCCCAAAGAGTAATGTGGCAGCACTGAAGACTATTAACACCTAGAGAATTACCCTGCCCATCCTCTCAAAACAGGTAACCAAATAGGGCCATTAATTCCCTTATTTTATTAAAGCTAGTCCTGAAATCAGGCTAAGCTAGATCTTGGTAACTGACCTCAGCACAAAGTGTAATTCTAATGTATGAATACAAAACACAGCAAAAGCAAAGAAAAAATCTGCTTTGTTTTGGAATGACCCGGATTGCCTTCCTTCTTGAATATTCAGTTATGCCATACCAAGTTTACGGGTACTGTTCCCAGGGTAGCTGAAAACTCTGGAGGGCACTGGTTCCTGCCGGTATGCAGTATAGTTCTTGCGCAGATCCCATATCTTGATCACACTAAAATTAAGAAAACAAAATTCTTCAGAATTCCATACCATGAATTCCATATCATTTTGATCTCCAAATATATCTGACATGAATTCAGTGAATCATAGTCCCAAAACATGGGAAGGAAGCTTGCTATACTCAGAGCAAGAATAAAACACTAATTGACGGATAGGAGATACCTTTATCTACACATTTGTTCAGATAGCAGGGGAACAACATAAATTGAAAAAGATAATAGTAGCAAACATACTATGAATATCTACTTATTTAATTTATTTAAGTTATAGTTAGCCCAAATCAAAAGATTATGGATGGGTTACAAGATATGTTTAAAAAATAAGCCAACCTTCTCCAAAGACAAACATCACTAACACTTTGCTAGGTTCAACAACTCAGTGAAATAAATTTTTAATAAAATATTGAATTATTTTCAGTAATTTTCTAAATGCCATGAAGGAGAGGACTATGTGAACCAAGGGGAATAGGTCAAGTGTGGGGGCTGCCCACAGAGGCCTGTTGACTTTTTCATGCTCCCCTAACTTCAAAAGTAGAATTCTTAACCGTACTTCCCAAGATGTTCTTCCCAAATGGGCAGCTTCAAGTCTGATTAGGCAATGTCTGATGCAACCCTGTACTGCATTACATATTGCTGTTATAGGCAGTATTTTGCATTGAGCCCAGAGGTTTAGTGATAGTCAGTGCCGCAACAGGAGAGTTGTTACCTTGCAAGAAACTGATCTATCAATAACTGTGGTTCTATCTCAACAATTAATATAACAATTGTGTATAAAGAATGCTTATACATTGTAGACAAATTGTAGCTTCTGGGTTATTTACAACCCCCCCTTCCTATTGAGTGCAATACAGTACTCCTGGCAGGTAATCAGCAAAGTATCAATTATCAAGGCCAGTGTATCCTCATCTAAGGAGGGCTACAACTTGTGCATCAGATAAAGCTAGGCAAAGGTGCCACAATAATGGCCTTCACTTGCTATTTATAAACAGCTGTAAATCGAAGAATATCCCCAAGGCACATATCACATTTTATGGGGCAATGTGACCCTGTCTAATGGCCTATGTTAGTACAATGACATCTGCTGACATACAGCAACGCAAACTTGGAGGGATTTAATCAATTATAAATATAATACAAATATATTAAATATTATGTTACTAGTATCCGGATATCACCAAGAATTGACAGTACGCAAAGATTGAGAAATTATCTTCTTAATTTATTTAATTTCTAAGAGAGACAGCAGCTACATCATGCCTTTAAAGCCTAGACAATGTGTATGTGTGTTTCACCATGTTCTGCTATAATTTAGCTATAGGATGGATACTTATTTGACAAATGGCTTGCTTATAACAACATAGCTAAATAAGAAAATATGCTGTGGTCTCCCCCCCCCCCCAAGAGAGTCCTTGTTCCTCAGGTAAGAGGCATTCTATGCAATTTCAATGAAGTTTCATTACATGTTCACATGAGCATACAATCCAAAATGAGAAATCCATAATGCTTCTCAAAAGAATTTTTAAAAATTGTTGGAAATAGAAATATTGACTATTACCCATCAACAGCCCCAGCTGAGATTAAGGTATGTTCATCTTGAAGTAGTACCACTGTTACACTCTGCTGGAAATCCTAAGAAGAGAAATGGGAAAAGAGGTCATTTCTCAACAAGCTAATACTATAACAAAGTTAATTTCAACTGATTTGTACATTTCCTATAAACAGCTTCCCATTTGACCCAGTTGGTAATTATTTATTGATGTTTCAAAAACTGTGGCTCTATCTCAATAGCTGACTCCCTAGATATTAGTAGAGGGTCACATAAAACAGGGGTGTCAAACTTGCGTTGTCACAGCAGCATCACGTGACGTATTGGGATTTCTCCCCCTTCATGAAACTGGGTGTGGGCAGTGCCTGACTTATCCAGCCCGCGGGCCATGAGTTTGACAGCCCTGACATAAATCAATATAATTAATTCAGTTGTTTTCCTTAATTGCTACCATCCCCCTAATAATTTCAAGCTAGTACAGCTGCCAAGACAGAACATGACAAAATCCAGCCTTAAAATTCCAGATTCTTACCACTGAGGGTGCAAGTCCTTTCACATTCTGTTTTTTCTTCCTCAGTTTGGATGGTGTTTTATCTATGATGTTGTGGGCACCACTTATTTGTTTGACTTGCCTGTAAAATCCATCTGTAAAACAGGTTCAGGAAACATTTTTTAAAAGACCTTCCCTTCTGGCTTTTCATATATGGTAAATGACCCACAATCATACTGTAAATTCATTCAACTTTATGAAAATTGAATATTTTACCTAGTATTAATATGTATTATGTAATGGAAAGCACTGGAATGAAGATAAGGAAAGCCAACTCCATATCCACAAAACTCAGGGGTAAATCCATCTCATAATACCATTGCAATGAGTCAAGAGAATAAACAGACACATCATACCTTTCTTACTGCATCGAGTGTCCCAGATCATGATATTTCCATCCCTTCCTCCAGTACAGAACACAGCTATAAAATACAAAATTAGAGCACGTCACTAAAAAAAAATAGATCATGTTGATTAGACCTAAATCAGTAATTCCTCAAATGCATTCCTTGGCCTAATAATAGTCCATAGACATTAACTTCAGCCTTTGTATGCTCACAGGCCAGAACCCCTTTGCCACCTTAACCTTACTTCGTGGAAGGCACTCACACTCCACTCATAGTCTATCTATTCAGCCCTTGACTTCTTGCATCCCCTGATAACTGTGTCCTCATTTTACTGACCTCAGAAGGATGGAAGGCTGAGTCAACCTTGAGCAAGTGAGGCTCAAGCCTCTGGCAGTGAGCGGAGTCAGCCTGAAATACAGCATTGTAACCACTGTGCCACCAAGGCTCTTAATTTTTCTTTAAAAGTAGGGGAGGGGTAATTGTTAGGTGGTTGCCTCTTTTTCTTAATAGTTCTTTGTTGACCACAGTTGAAAAACGTAGATAAACCATGTTCTAACTTTATCTCTTTTCTGAAATACTATTTCCAGCACTAAACCTATTTTATATTTATAAACACAGATGTTCTGTTGTATACTTCACAGTAGTTTAAACTTTGCAGTTTTTGAGGGATTTTTCAATTTTATCTTGAGCTTTTCAAAAGATCATTCTTGAAAAATAATTGCTTTTGTAAACGTAAAGATGGAGTATTAGACTGGGATTTCTACCTTAATTATCCTAGCTAGTTCATCTAAGAACATATGATAGCAGCATAGCTTTTTCACAATTTATGATCTATGAACATTGGCATATCCATGGCCACTGTAATTGTATTATTTTGTATATAATAAGTCCAGTTGTGAGTTCTAGCAGCCGCTACTGCTGGTTTGTCAGGGATGTGCTGCGCGCTTGCACAAAACAATGAAAATTGCTCTGCGCATGTGCAGAAGCCAAAAACTACGCCGCCGCCAGGAGAACCGGTTCAGGGATGTGGCAGGCCTGGGTCACTGCTGGTTCCAGTAGTCCATGCCGCCAAGCTACTACGGGTTCGGCCGAACCGGTCCAGACCAGTAGGAACCCACCACTGAAGAAGCCCCAAATTCCTATGCTCCATAGTTTCTACGGTAATTCCCCCCCAATTCATTAAAGAACAGAATATTAAAGTTTACCTTTTTCAAATTTAGAAAAAGCAACTGATTTGAGACTGCACTGATGTCCTTTGCATACTCCCAAGAGTTCACCAGTCTTAATATCCCACACTTTTGCAGTTTGATCCCCTGAAGCAGTAACCTTAGAGAAAACAAATGCAACAGTTTACCACTGGAAGCAAAAAAAATTATTGTACCTTTAACATAAGCTTATGAAACAAAAGCATTTTTTCAATAGATATATGAAATGACATGTTAGTTCAATATTATGTATATTTTCTCAAAAATAAACTCCAGCAAGTTCAGGGGAACTTAGTCCCTACATAAAGTACATACAATTCCTGTTTTGGAAGGTATCAGGTACATAGATGGTTAAAGACATCTAAGTATAAGACATGTACATTTACTAAGTATAAGACATGTAAGAGATGTACAAGTGGTCCTCATTTACGACCACAATTGAGCCCAAAATTTCTATTGCTAAATGAGGCGTTAACTAAGATTTGCCCCACCTTTCTTGCTAGTTAAATGAATCACTGCAGTTCTTAAGTTAATATCACAGTTGTTAAGTGAATGTGGCTTCCCCATTGACTTTGCTTTGTCAAAAGTTTGCAAAAGGTGACCATATGACCCTGGGGCACAGCAACCATCATAAATGAGTCAGTTGCCAAGCATCTGAATTTTGATCACATTACCATGGGGATGCTACAATCGTTGTAAGTGTGGAAAACAGTCATAGGTCACTGAAAAACAGTGCTATGGAAGTTTGAACGGTCACTAAATGAACTGTTAAGTCGAGGACTACCTGTATATTAAAATATAAATAATGCTTCCTAACAACAGATGTGCCAAACACAAATAGATTAAAAAATCAAATTCAGAAGGATTATATTGCTGAATCCCATTTCTAAAACAGATGCTAGAATGCAAGGTCCAACTGCAACACTGCAGATTATAAGGCAGTTCATAGCCATAGCTTCTCTTGTTAAAGTGAGAGAAAATTGATAAACTCTCAATGAAGTCTAATTCACTGCTATACTGAATGAATTGCTAGTTTTAATTCTACTTTTTGCATCAAAACCAATAAACATCTAGTTTAAATTCACACTGTAATATTGTACGAAGCCAGGGAGGCAGTGGTGAATGGATACCTCGGCAGAAACTCCAAATTTAAAAGTTGTTTTAAAAAATTGTCTTAACTTTTTTCAGCATGGAACATCCATTTACCTACTTTTATGAACCTCCATAACAAGTAAGCAAACTAGCAGCTAGTTTGAAGTTTGCAGTGGTTTCCTATTAGGTTTTGCTGTGTCGAACTAAGAAAACACAAGCTATTTCATGTTTTGTTCCACTGGAACCAGAGAACATAGATATTTCAATATAAAGTTTGTCCTGAGCTAAAACTAAACCCTTCTGTATTTCATGATACATGGTCTAGACCCGTGGTGGCACGTGGAGGCTTCTTGGCCGGCACGCAAACCGCCACCCAGCTGAGCTCCACCAAGCATGCCCACGGACCTCCCACCAGCCAGCTAATTTTCAGGTCTCTGCAAAATACTATACATGCCATCAAAAATATAACTATATACATCCAACAGGAACAGGAAGTGCCTCACAGGAGCAGATAGAGGTAAATCCTAGACAGGCAGGAAATGCATCACTGAACAATGGAGATGAATGTTAGAGAGGAATAAAGCTACATACAAGGTCAACGTAACATCTGTAACAGTGTAGGCATGCGGGGTGTGTGTGCATGCTCCCAACGCTCCTTTTTTGGTGCCGGGTTGCTTTGGGGAGGTCCACTAGGCCCAAAACAGTGTATGGTGGGGGATGTCGTGCATGCATTGTATTATTGGTGTGGGCATGCATATGTGTACTGTTATGTGTGCATGCGCTTTTGCCACATGAGGACAAAAAGGTTAGCAATCACTGGCCTAGACTCTGGTCATATCATTTATCTTCTAAGCTGTACTATATTACTAAGCCCACTAATGATCTTGCTAGAATATTAAGAGCCAGAAAAAGCATAATAATGAATTGCAAATAACATAAATAAGTAGAGGGAATAGCATAACCCAAGATTGAGTGGTATCCATAGTAATAAAACAAACAGTGATGATTTACAGTACTCACAATTTTGTGTTCATAGGGCATCCATGCAAGATCAAACACAGCATTTAAATGAGCTTGCCATTCTGAAGTGAAAGTAAAATATATTAGATCTAAATAAACCAAATTCTTTGCAATAAAACATCCACATATGAAAAATGAAGACTATTATTTTCATCAAATTTACAAAGAACAGTACCACAAATACAGTATTAAAAAAACTACAGGCTACTGCTTTTATCAAATAATCCAATTCATGTGGTCCAAATATAAGGCTTTCTTTTTACCTTTAACAATTTTCTTGTTGTTCAGTTGTGTGTGGGTATCATACAGCCTAACAAATCCCTCTTCATTGGCAACACCAAGAACATGTTGCACATCTGGAGCTGAAAAATAATGTAGTAAATATTTGTATTTTAAAACTTTTAAAAGCTGTATGCTTATTAGTAGTACATAACTTTTTCTGCATCAGAAAATTACTGTCATATATTCTAAGTGTTAACCATATAAAACACAAAATACATTCTTGTAAATATCAACTTTTCCCATTCTTATTATCACAAGAATAGACAAACATCACCTATTTTAAAAGATTAACTTAATAACAAGCTACTTTGAAAGACTGGCAGATACTGTAATTAGGCAAGGGGAATTCATGTAACGAACATAAACAAGTTCTCTTTCCCTATATCCTTTTGATAGCTGTTTTCAAAAGAGGAATGGATAATCAATTTCTTTAGGCATTAATTTTCCAACCTTTGCTGAATTTGGAAAATGGCTACCGAGCAAAAACAAATTTGATGGTGGATAGTGTGTGTTTTCTTCATTTTGTCATGGAAATACTTATATATGGATGGCTGTAGCCTAACTGAAAAATAAAAAGCATCCCAGAAAAATGTAATGGCAAACCACTGGAAAGAAAAGTATAGGATGTTTTCCACCCAAAAAGTAATTGACTCTACATGATTTACTACTCATCCTAAACTCCCTAATGCATGAAAGTAACTAGCCTTCACATTGATTAGTCCCAATGATCTGAATGTTACTAGAAGTTGCCCAGCATGTTGTTTCATCCTTATGGCTAAGAAACCTTTCACAATCTAGTATATGCCAGTTTGTTTGGACTACAAATCAGATTTTTACTTTCCCATTGACAATGATGACTTTGTATTATAGTACAAAAGAAAAATAAAATTAAAAATCACCACATCAGAAAAGTCTACCTTTAAAGCAACATAATGACAACTCTTACAGATGAGGCACCACTTTACCTGTTGAAAAGCTACAGCCAAAAGGAGGAACTGGAATTCCCATGTCTCCATAGGAAGGATGGTCATCTTCCTTAATACACTGATACTGCCCTAATAGATGGTGTAGGGAAAATCTTGGTGCCAAACCTACCACAAAAAAAGACAGGTACGTTTATTTAATTTTTAATTTTTTTTACTGACACTAATAAAACAATGAAACACCAACAAAGAACTTCCCCAAACACAACACACCCACATGTAGAAATAAATGCAGAGCTTTCCTGAACTTCAACTTCATATAACCCCAAGACTTACAGGAATAGCCAGGTATTTACATATTTACATCTTTTGGGAAGGTTGGGATAGTAGGGCCTGTCAGATGCCTTGACGTGTATTCCAAAGGGCATTTTTAAAGCGATATGTGAAAAACTGACAAGAATTCTGCAAGCAGATTTAAAAGATTTCTTCATGTATCACCATTAAACACTGCTTGACATTATATTCTCCCTCAATATGTCTCCTAAACCACCTGTGCCTTCAAAGTATATTGGCTACCTAGTTTCCTCATCCTCAGTCTCCACTGATCATATCCTATGGGAATGCTGTCAAACATGGGTTTGCTGAATAGCATGTTTCTCTGATCCACCTCCCCCCCTCCAAGTACTGTAAAAAATGCTTTACAAGGTCTACAATATACCGCACCTGGATTGAGACATCAACATAAGTCTGGCTACTATTTATCTTTATTTCAATGGGGCAGGTTGGGGCTTGTGAGCTGGGCCATTTAGTTGTGTTGTCCTGACTACCCAGAGTCAGTTTTGGTGAAAAGAGCAGCTATACAAATTTAATTGACAATTTAATTGACAATTAGAATTATTTGTCAGTGCGCAACATATGTACAATGAGATTGGTTGAGCTCCCTCAAGCACCCCAAAACAATACAACTCACAGTGAAGGCAGAAAATCCCTAACCCAATAAATCATATTAACAAACACTCAGTCCTATTGCACCAGTGTGAACATGTTACACGTTCATCAGATTTATCTGATTCATTTATCCTTTAGCAGATAAAGGGTTTTCTGTTTAAGCCAGAATGACCATAAAGGGAAAGGGAGAACAGAGAAGAGCAGGGATGCCTTCCTCACTCCCTCAAGGACACATGGTCTTAAAAGGAGAGGAGAGCTGGTCTTAAAAGACCAGTGGAGGAGCAATGGGGATTGTTATTATATTTTGACCCCGGTCTTCTTCTAACTCGAGGCAGAGAGCATACCCTGATATCCCTTCCTATTTTCTCCCCAACAATCCTATGAGGTGGGTTGGGCTGAGTCAGTGCCCGAGCCAAATTTATCCAGCCGGTTTCCAGCCTAAGGGAGGCTTGGAATTCAGAGTCTCCTGGTTTACAAACCGTTTATATCAAACAGGCTCTTTTCAGGAACCAGGGGCTTCCTAACACTTACCCTGCGGTCCATCCTGGCAGCGGCGGACTAACGAGCGACACAACATCACAACAACGGCAGCAGCTGGAAGCTCTATTATCACCGCGCGCCAAGCCCGCGGGAAAAAGAATAGCTTATTTCACTAGATCTCCCGCCAACCCGAAGTCCGCGCCAAAGACACTTTTCTACAGCTATTGGCTGCCCTGGCGGCAAGAAGCCACGCCTCCTTCTTTCCATTGGCTTTTCCTATCCCACCGCAAGATGATGCCACGCCCTTATACCGAGGCATTAGTTGATAAACCAACCGGTCTTTTTTAAAATTGCGCATGCGTAACAACTTCCCCGCCTCCTACTCATGCGATCTTCCGGAAAGAGTAATAATCCGCGTGCTGGCAGGAGCGCGACTGCGCAGGTGCCTAAACCTGGGGGTTCTGCACAAGCGCAGATAATTACTGTTTGAAACGGAAAAGAGATACCCTTACTTAAGGCTTTCCTTTCCTGTCTGTGTAAAACAAAAGTAATAAAGCGTCATTCTACGATTCCTTTCAGAAACTCCTTATATAACGGGGAATGGCTTCCGTTTCCAAATCCTTCCTCGCTGATGCCGGCTATGGGGAGCAGGAATTGGATGCCAATTCCGCACTCATGGAACTGGATAAAGGTAAGGGGGGGAAACGACCCGTGGCAACATGTGCGCATGCGTGGATAACGTACTAACCTAACACCCAAAAAGGAAGTCCCTCCTAGTGTTCCTTTGAGTGTAATCGACGTGTTGGGGCCTTTGCAGAAGGATGAAGTTGCTTTAGATTGGAGTGAAAGCCTTGTGGTTTCTTAATATTGCTGGTTTTATTGTGTATTTTAAGATGCCACGGGCTTCTCTGTCAACTCCCATACCTTAGCGTTCTCCATCGCTGCAATTCCCATCATTCCAAGGCAATTCCCAGTTTTTCCAAACTGATTGATCGTCCCCAGTTATCTAATTATCTCAGCTAACGGCTATCCTGTGTGGTGCAAATGACATTAAGTCACGTGTTTTACTAAAAAGCAGCCTGAGCCTATTGAATCAAGCCCCCCCCCCCCCGTGCAGTGAAAAAAAATAGATTACCGGTAAATGCCAGACAGTTGTGCATTGGGCCTCTTTTTGAATACATAACTTGAAATACATAATCTACCGTATTTTTCGGAGTATAAGATGCAGTAAGGTTTTGAAGAGGCATTTTTTTTAAAAAANCCCCCAGGGGCCGTGGGCAGACTCCGGTCCGTGGGGTGCCAGACGGCATAAACAAGTGAAGCCCCATCCAAGCACCTGGTAGGATGCAGGTCTCCCTCCGGTCCGTGGAAAAGCCTCTCTTCATGGGTCCCTGCCCCCCCCAAAAGATTTGGGGCCACTGACTGAGACCCTGCTTGCGTCCAATGACTTCTTTCAAACGGACGGGGAGGTCGATGGGTTTCCTGCTTCATTTCGCTTCTTGAAGCCTCATTCGGTCTCCCAGGATGCTCGCCAAGAGCCCAGGCGGAGGGCGGAAAGGAGCCCCACACACAGACACCCCGTGCGAAGGGCTCCCATGGGGCGAAGGGTTTTGTTCTGGTGAGATGCCTCTATCAGGGCAACCTTGCCTGCCCAACAATGGGGCCGAGTTTAGTGCTTCCCTCTTCGCCTGTCAGCCCCCATCCTTCGCAGGCCCTTTGGCTACAGACTCCTTGTGTGTGTGTGTTGAACGTCCCGGGGGGAGGGCTTTGGTTCCTTTGGCCCACCCACCCGATCCCTCCCCCTTGGGGGCCCGGACTGCCCAGCCGAAGCCCCGGAGGCCCTCTTGGTCAGCTCTTGTTCCCAGGGGGCTGGAGAGCAGGGCGGGAACCATGTTTTGATCAGGCTCTAGCCGTGATTGATGGGAAGCAGCTGAGCTTCTTGGGAGGGAACCAGAACGGGCAGCAACAGGCGCCAGGGGACGTCCTGGGCCAGTCGGACGGGGCATGTGGTCCCACTGGTGGGGGAGGGGGAGTGGGGGAAGGGCCGGCAGCAGCAGCAGCAGGTGTGGGCTCTGGGAAGGGGATTGTCTTGGCTCCCCAGTGCTGCCTCTCCCCATCCAGCCGTGGGGGTGTGGACGCGGGGGGGGGGGGCAAGGTCCCCTCCTGCCACCTGCTGGGCCTTCAAAGGCCACTTGGGCCCCAGAAGAAGTTGGCCGAGGGAAGAGGCCAAGCCAAGCGGAGCTATGGGGCCCTTGGGAGGCCCAAACGGGGTCTGGAGTGGAACCCGTGGGGTGGCTGGACCTGCTTTTCGGTTTGGGGTCTGCCGCGTAGCTGTCCTGCCAGCTGCCCATTGGGAGGGAGGGCGGTGGGCGCTCTGCCTGCCCTTTGTGTGTGAGGTGGGGGTGGGGGTGTCCAGGGCCTTTTGTTCTCAGCACCCCGACAGTGAGGAAAACGAACCAGGGGAACCGCTTGCCACCAGACTGGAGGTTTTTCAGAAGAGACTGGATGGCCACTTGTCTGAAATGGCACAGGGTCCCCTGTTTGAGCAGGGGGCTGGACTAGAAGACCCCCAAGGTCCCTTCCAGCTCTACTCTGGTTCATTTCCTCAGAGGAAAGACAAAAGCAAATCAGAGAACGGGGAGTTAAACCTTGGGGTGACCCTGGTTTGGAAGACAGGTGGGGGTGAGGGGACTAGATGACCTACAAGGAAGCTGTTGGGGAACAATCTTGCCCCAGAAGAAGTCACTTTCTGCCTCAGGAGATCTGCTGGAGGGGGGTTGGACTAGATGACCTCCAAGGTCCCTTCCAACTCCGTTAGGATTCCTGGTGGTCCTGGGCTCTGGCTGTTGCCCTCAAAGGCCGGATCCACAGGAAACAAGGCTGTCCTCATCCATAACTTGACTATGAATGAGGGCTCTGACCTGGGGGGCATTCCCGAGACTTGGGTGAGCCCAGAGGGGGTTTCCTCTCCTGGTATGATAGGTTTCCCCCCCCCCCGGGGTCTGCATCGGCTAGGGAGGGGAAGTGAGGAGGCCACGGCTCATGACGCCTGGAGGGGAATCAGCTCCACTGCTCATGGGATGCCAGCCCCTCCTGCTGCCCTTGGTCCCCTGGGAACGACGGGAGGGGTGGGGGCTTCAATCCATCTCCCTTGACTCTGGGGCAGCTTATTGTTCATGCCCCCTGCAGACCCCCAAGCCGTACAGGGCCCAACACGGGGACTGCGGGTGATGGTTCCATGTTAGATTTGATCTCTCTCTCGAGGTCCTTTAGAGGATGTGACCATCGGTCCAGAGCCACAGACAGGGGATTGCTTGCCCTTCCACTTGCTGCTGCCATGCACCCATGGGCATGTTGGACCAGCCCACCTCAGGTGACCTATGGCCCGGTTGGGCCTGCTTAGGGTGACCCATTCCTTGCTGGGGGGCGGGGAGAGGGGCAGGCCACGAGAGTGTCTGCTGGCCGGTGGGGAAGCTAAAACATATGAAGAGCAGTTGCAGGAATTGGGGGTGTCTAATTGAATGAGAAAACTGACTTCTGCTACTTCAGGGGCTGCCCCAAGGAGGAGGGGGCTCCCTTGTCTTCCAAGCACCAGAAGGCAGGACGAGAAGCAACACGGATGGGAACCGATGGAGGAGAGAAGCAAGGGATGGGATGAGGCTTCCCTCCAGAGGGGGGTGGGGGCTCCGTCACTGGGCAGCCACTTTGTCTCCAACTGCATTTCCTGCCTGAGCAGGGGGCTGGACTAGAAGACCTCCAAGGTCCCTTCCAGCTCTGTGGTTCTGATATCCATCCTGGCTAATTCGATTTACACAGTTGGGCTGCATTTGGGAGGAGTTGGCGTGGGACCTTGTGGTGTTTGCCTGGACTGGGATTGTGGGTCAAGTTTGATTCTGGGACTCCCGAAGAAGGGGAGTGTGTGTGTGNGACTGTGCACGGGATGCCAAGGGGAGGGGAATGAATATAATATTCGCTTTCGTGCCTAATTAACCAGACTTAGCTTAGCTTTGCAACTGTTCATTTATAATTAGTAAAAGTACACTTGATTTCAACAAATAGAGTCCAGTAGTTTTCTTTCCTGATTATTGAATGAAGAAATGCTGACAGTAACTTTGAAATTTGTTCGTAACTGAATGAATGGTCATAACTCATAATTTAATGGTAATGAAACTGTAATATCAATTAGACTTTGTAGGAGTCCCTTCAGTATGATTATAATTATCTAGATTTGTGATCCAATCATTGAGCTAAAGAGGAAGAGATAACAGGTTTCATGGCAAAGTTCAATTTGAAAGCAACAAAACATGTATTCTAGATGAGTTGCTTATGGACATTGGAATGCCAAAGTTGGAAATGTAAAGGAGAACATATTTTAATTGTATGGTCTAGGAAACTGAAATGAAGCAGGAGAGATCACATTTTGCCAATCCAATGATTTCTTTCATTGCTAACATGTCACAACAACCAAAATGATGCCTATATGAAACAAACAAAATGTTTTAAAAAATAATGATATTTATGTACCTACCAAGCACATCTAAATTATATTAAAGTAACCAAAATATTTTTTTACAATTCCCAAGGCATGTCACAACTTTTGAGCACCTCTAATGTTTGGAGATTGAAAGTTGAAAAATTTGACACACACTAAACATGGACCTCATCAGATGTTGTATAGAGAAATAAAATTGAGTATATTATTTGTATGAGAAGCTCAGTTATAATAATAAAGTCATAACCAGGGGCTGACATTGGAACAGATCATGAACTGCTCATGTGCAAGTTTCAAATTAAGTTAAAATATAAGAACAAAGCCATTTGCCATAATAAGATCTAAGTAGTGATCTATGGCTATGGGGCAAACAGAGAATTCAACAGCAATATTACTTTCCTGTCATTGAAATGACTTTCTGATAATACTTTTTAAACAAACAGAATCATCTTGTTTTATGATAACATAGTAATTTCAAGTCTTGTGTATTAAATCTTTTTACCTCCTTACTAAGGAAATATACAAAGTCATATAAAATATTGACTATTAAAATAATGTTGACACTTTACTTTCAAGAATACTGCTGTGAATTGTTGACTTATACCATGCTATATAAATTAATGTTCCTTTTATTTTTTCATATATTGTATAGCTTTAGTGCTTATTTCTACAACTGAGTTTAAGCCATTTTACTTCCTTATTTACACATAGAATCGGCTTTATAGCAGTGGAGATTAAAGGGAACTCATTAATCTTACAACTCTTGCTGATGAGGATAGGTTATAATATCTCACATATAGAGACACTTAATTACAGAAACCCAACAAATATAGACTACAATCATTATATTGAAGATCTACCAATATACGTTAAATTACTAGGATGACTGTAACACATAATTATTTGTATCTATTTCAATGCTAAGTCGTTAAGTATTTTGAAACCTTGAGGATACAAACTATGCTTGTAGTCCAACTATATTCTTCCCCTGAGCTTTTGCATAATTCAAATGCACTGCAGAATCCATTAGGAATTTCATAATGAATTATAAATGAGGAAGAATAAAGTGAATCCATCATGATACTCATTTTATAGGATATTCTGAAGAACCTCTACATAGTGCCATTCTGGGCAGACATCTGATATACAGGTTTTGATAAAAGATGTAAAGGCTGACTTGGGATCAGCATAACTGGACA